TTTTTCGGCTACGAGCCCGATACGGAACCCACCGTATCAGTCAGAGGTCCCTTTACTACGGTTCGGAGCCGCGGACTTTCAGTAATAGTAATAAATCACACAGCAATAGTACATTCATGTAGTTGTAAAAAGCATAATAATATATTAAGTAATCCAAAGTATTCAGAATGTGATACTGTCATTGAGTAACGAAACGGAATACGTTACAGAATACATTTTGGGGCATGTATTCTGTAATCTGCAATGGAATACATTTTAAAAGTAACCTTCCCAACACTGGTGTTCATGACACCACCATAAAAAAGACTGGGCAAAAATGGCCTGCATGGCGGAGTTCCAAGACGAAAACCACTGCAGTGCAAAAGGAACATAAAGGCTTGTGTCAGTTTTGGCAGAAAATATCTTGATGATCCTCCAGAGTTTGGGACAATACTCTGTGAACTGATGGGACAAAAGTTTAACTTTTTGAAAAGTGTGTGTCCCAGTACATCTGACGTAAAAGTAACATGGCCTGTAAATGGCCTGTATTTGTATAGCGCTTTATATATGGACCACTCCAAAGTCCCTAAGGACTTTGGAGTGGTCCAGTCAAGGTCCTGACCTGAATCCAATTGAGATGCTGTGGCATGACCTTACAAAGGTGGTTCATGCTTGAAAACCCTCCAATTTGGTTGAAATACAACAACTCTGGAAAGATGAGTGGACCAAAGTTCCTTCACAGCACTGTAAAAGATTCATTGCCAGTTACTGCAAATGCAACCTGCTGCCAAAATGCAAAGAGAGCCCCGACCAGTTATTAGGTAATCTGGCAATCACATTTTCACACAGGGACATGTAGGTTTGGATTTTTTCCCCCTTAATAGAAAACACCTTCATTTAGAAACGGCATTTTGTGTTTCCTTGTGTTATCTTTGTCTAATATTTCAATTTGTTTGATGATCTGAAACATTTAAGAGTGACACACATACAAAAAAATAGTAAATCAGGAGGGGGACAAACACTTTTTCCCACCACTGTGTATCAGATAATGACATTATGATGTGACCTCTGACCTTTGATCTCACTATAGTATTTATTCACAGACAGCTTCCAGGCAAGTTCAGTTAGCGTGGATGATGCCACATATGTCACCATGTTGATCAGTCTCTCCACGAACGTCATGCGGTCGTTGTATGGAAGAGGAGCTAATGGAACATAAGATGGTGGCAACGGGGCGTGGCCACAGTGTCGCTCCATAACACTGCCAAAGCTGAAGCGCAGCGAGAGGATGAGTGGCACGCCGAGCATGTCAGCCACCAGGTCGCCACACATTGCAAGGGGGTCTTGTAGGATAACATCGAAAGCACTGTCCTGCAGAGTCGCCATTAGCTGCTGGTTCTTCAGCACCCCATCACACTGCTGCCTCCCAAAGTCCAGGGTGCGGCCCATGAAATGGTTCATCTTCATGATCTTTTGCAGCGGTGAAGAGGTGTGTGACTCGTACATAGAGAACTGGATGAATTCGTGCATGGTGCCCACATATTCCTCCCTGCTATATGACACCTGCAAGTGAAAAAAACACCTGATCAGGTTTATTGTTTAGTTACCGCCCAGTAATGGTGTGTAAACTGTCAGCCTGGAGATTAAAGACAAGATAAAATAAGTCATGAAACATGGAATAAAAGCCTCATGCAATTGGTGTTTATGAAGATATACTGTGTTTGGCTTTGTGCATTATGAACAAACATCTCCACTTTGGCCTTTTCTGTCCAAAGGACCTTAATCCAGTGTCATGGTCTTGGGCCTGTTGCCCAGTGGTCGGTGTATTTTGGGTTTTCAAATTAGGTTCAAACATCTTTAGAATTTTTTCTTAAGTTTACATTTCATGTATTAGTCTACAACTTCTGTTATATCCTTTGTTGGTTGATTTGGGTATTTGTAGTAATCTTTTATTTTGAGTCCAACTAGTTTTTGCTCCTTTCTTGCTTATAGTAGTTTGCATTGTATTCCTGTTTTAGTTTGTTTGTTTTGCCACTCTCTGTGTTCCCTTAGTATTTTTCCCTCCTCTGTCAAGTTGCTTGTATTAATTTCATTAAGGTGATTGTTTTTTCTCTGTTTAATTATTACTTCCTGTTTTACTTTGAGAGAATTTGTGTTCCTTGTGCTTTGCTTTTAGTTTTGCTTCCTTTGTCTCGTCTGCTCTGATTTGGTTCACCTGTGTCTTGTTCTCCACTTCCCCTAATCACCCACCTGTGTGCATATTGTCTCACACTCCTTTTTTCAGAGTGTCAGTTCATCTCCCCTTCTTGTCTCTCAGCTCCAGTCGCTCCTAGTCCAAGTATTATTTCCCAGTTTATGGCTTTGAGTTTCATTTTGTGTTTTATATTCCACATTGTATTTTCCCTGCAGCAAAATGGCTCATTGTGAGTTTACCACAGCCTGCCTTACATGTCTGCATTTGGTTCCTCACACATCTCGCACTTTGCAATCTTGAAAGTATACTCTAACCATAAAACAGCCCCCGCAGATGCTATTCCAGAGGAGTTTGGAGAAAAGGTGGAAAGATTATTCAGGATTGCATTCACAAGTCCTTTGATTTAAAGATTCTATCAGTCGGGCTAAGAGGCATTGACACCATCCTCAGGGACAACCCATGATTACTTCAGTTGCCTAGGATTTCTAAACACATTCTTGGTTTCCACAAGAGAATTGATACGAGTCCCCTCACTGGCTCTGCATCGTCACTATTTCCACAGACTGGTTTTTCCTCACCTGGCCCTGCATCCTTTTTGGCAAGCCAGTGGTCAGAGGATGAGGAACCTTTCCCAGATCATCCCGCATCTGTGGTCAAGAAAGAACACTGCACTTGCCACACCAATTCCTTTCCACTGTTAGACTGCTCTTCTGCCTTGATGCCACTGCTCAGCTTTCCAAATGCACCACTGAACGACACAGGAAATCATTCCTGCTTGTGGCCATCTCTTGTATAACTCCCTTTTTTTTCTGCTCTTGCTCTTGACGAAGGCGGTCGCACTTTTCTCCTCTCCTCCTCTCCCTTAGCTTCCCTGCTTAGCCTCTTGTGTCCTTGTCTAGTCTCGTATTTTTGTATTAGTTTTCCCTGGAACACTCTCTCACAGTCTGTTCTTTAAAAGCTAAAAGAGGAATTATGGATTTGATCAACTGGTCCCTAAATGCAATTGACACCCCTTTCTCAATGAGAAGTTTGGGCTTGGGTGAGCCTGAGTGCTGAAGATATCTACCTATTCCGAACCATGGTAACAGAGTTCTTGCTGAGCTGGCTTGGCCCTGACTTATCGAAGAATTAAGGAAGCGGAACCGGCTGTTCAAATCCCCACAAGGCTGCCCGCTGGGATTGAAACGATGGGAAAAGGTGTGAGTTTCTCAAAATGGGCTCATTGAGTGCAGCACAGATAAGATCTTGGAGAGGCTACGGCTGTCGTGAATACTCAGAATAAGATCTCTGACTGCAGACTGGATTACATCTTGGAAGGGCTCGCTCGGAATAACATCTCTGAGTGCAAATTGGATTACATTTGGGGGAGGCTCACTGCGGTCGTGAGTTCACAGAATCGGCTCTTTGAGCACAAGAATGACAACATCACAGAGCGCAAGTTTGATAACATCATGGCGAAGCTCGCGGCTCTCCAACGGGAGATAAAGAGACCAGTGTTGGACTGTTAGAACTGCTTTGAAATTCATATGAGCTGTTGGCACTAAAGTTAAAAGTTAAAAGCACCATCACTTCATGCGGATACCCTTTCGGCGCCAGCTGCGGTCTCAAGGCTGGAGCCGAACAAAAACACCCTGATAATGACTGTGTTTAGTCTGTTCCTTCCCATTCCCTACAAGGCCACCTGGGTTGGCTGGAAGACTGTTTACTTAGCCTAGCAGGGCGAAGGAGACTGTCTCAGCTGAACTCTGGATACACACACACATATATATACACTGATACACACTCATCCCCCCTCCCTTTCCAAGCGCCTTCGATGCTTGTTCCACTGGTTCCCACTGTTTCAATTCCTTGGAATTGTTTGCCATTTTTGCAAACGATTCCCTTATCGATTCCAGTCGCCCCGAATGACGTCA